AACTTAATTAACTCAAATGCTTTAAAATATAAGCTAAACTAAAAAAACCTAAGCTAAACTCCTAAATTTAGCACTGTCGTTTCCAGTACCCTTCTCCATTCTCCCTTTCTTCCCCGATAGCTGAACCGAGAGCCTCCATCGCCACCATTCGGCCACCACACCTTGGTGGCCAACTTCTATTGATTGCAACCGTACTTCACCTCAACCGACCGGCAACCCAACGACGAAAGAATCCTAACCACTTCGGTTTTCCATATCCCAAAAGAACCCACTCTCAACCGAGGACTTTGGCGCACACCTAACCTTCACGATGAGAAAACCATTCCGATGACCACCCTCAATGGTAACTCTCTACTTCTCCGGCGATGGACTCAACTTCTCTTCCTAACTTCTTTACACTCTTCGAAACCCATAAGCCCTCTCTTCAAAGCCCCCCAACGACGAAAGAAAACGAAGAAGAATTGTAAATTTCTCTCTCTTTTTCTACGCTTTGTTTTGTTTCATAACTTACATGTACTAAATCTAATCTCAACTCTTTTTTTTATGTCATAGCCCATACTAAGAACAAATGGAGTCAACAAGACTTCATTTGAGTTCGTATAACCCAGGTGATTTAACCCTAAATTCTCTTTTTATTTATTTAAATGAAAACCTAAGGTCATGATTCCTAAGAAACCTTTTTTAGACATGCAAAATATGTTTTATTTACTGATGCATTCAAAAGAAATGAAAATTAGCGAAAGAATACTACTGTACAAATAATAAAGAAAATGAACCTTGAAAGAATTAGACTTTTTCCTTGATTGCTTTGGTTCGTTGAAACAAGCGAACTCTTCTGTTTCCTTTGATCTCCAAATAGGAGAAAAGTCCAGTACAATGTTTTTCTATTTGTTACTATTTTATGTAAAGAGAAACAATCATGGAGGTTCTTTGCTTTGCTCTCGGTTAATTGATGATATTCTTTTTTTTGTTTTCTAGTGGTTAATTTCTTTTAGTTTTCAGTAGTTAATCCCTCCACTATCTGGTTATATTAACTTCTAAAAATCGACCCTAATTTCTCTCCACTTTTGCATGCAGTTGTTGTCCATTGGGCTTGAGATGGGCCTCTAGCTGGTTTGGGCTTATTTGGGCTCTCATTACTTCGGGTCTGCTACGACTTGGCCCCAGACAAATCGAGTATCTACACTTACAACTGAATTATAATTTATAAATGCTACCCTTTTTGGTTTTACCCATTTTATAACTTTATTTAAAAAAAACTATGAGCCAATTCACTCTCCCCATTTCTCTCTGCAACTCACAACCTAAAACATCCTAAACACTCCGATCTATTTACCTTAATCCAAATCAAAACTGAAAATCGCATAAATAAGGCCAAAACACCCTTAAACCGAGACCACAACTTTGGTTTCTGTTTGCTCCGACGAACTGGACTTCGATGGGAATTGGGAAGCTCCGATGACTCACAAGTAATACTTTCCTCTTTCTCTTTGACTCTATTTTGCTTTATAATTTTTTGTTTACATTCTTGTTGTATTCGAAATAAAAAACGAATGGATAAAGACTTATATTGATTCTCTAGTTTATGTGTTGCTTCAAGAAATTAAAGAAAATGTTTGGCATTCTCTAATTTCTCTTAAATGGAGAGGAAAAAGAAATAAATTATGATTTGTCTTGTGTGTAGTAAGGTTTTGACATATATTTCTAGTTTTAAATTATGATTTGTCTTGTGTGTAGTAAAATTTTGTTATAACTTAAATGTTTTAAAAGGATGATTGATATAATTTGCTAAGGCTCTGTTTGTTTGATGTTTCTTGATATTTTTATTTTGATGTTCATGTTATAACTATTAATATTTACGTCAACAGCGTCAATTATCAAATTGGGAATTTGAGATTTTATCTTACTCCAATGGATTACAATTCTAATTGAAGAATCCAGGTGCAATTGTTCTTTTCTTATACTTATTTATTAGAATTGGTTTGTTTTTGACTCTTTGATAAGATGTTGCCTAAAAAACATTTGTGTGGAAGTGAAAAAAGAAAAATAGGAAGCGAGATGAGGAGTTAAAGAAGTCACAAAAAGGTTCTCTTGATAAATTTGTGTTTAAAAAGGTTGATTCTCATGAAACTTTGAATCAATCAACTGAAAATTTACATACTGAAAATCCTGGAAATTCTGAAAATGTGGATGATGAAGTGAATGATCCAATTGACTTTAATGACGTGCCAATTGATGAAAATGTTGAAAATTTAGGCATTGGTGAATAAACACTTCCTCATTTGAATATATATGATCCTATAAATTGGGAGAATCTTGACAATAATGCGAGAGATATATTAGTTGAAAAAGGGCCCATAAGAGAAATGGATCTTGAATTTCCTGTTGATAAATATTATAGACATTTCTCATATGCATGTTATTCTAGAAAGTTGAGCAATGGTGAGACTAGTGATAGAAAATGGTTAGTTTATTCCAAAAATGTTGACAAAATATATTGTTTTTGTTGCAAGTTGTTTAAATCGATTAGTAATGTAAGTTTGTTAGCAAATGATGACTTAAGTGATTGGAAACATATTAGCCAAAGGCTTAAACAACATGAAAATAGTGTTTAACATATGACTAATATGAATACTTGGATTGAATTGAGAGTAAGATTGGATAAAAATCAAACAATCGATAAAGATTTGCAAGAATAGATTATGAAAGAGAAAGAGCGTTTGAGACAAGTGTTACAAAGAATATTCTCAGTTGTGAAATGTCTTGCTAAACATAATCTTGCATTTCGAGGATCCAATGAAAAACTATATCAAGATAGCAATGGTAATTTTCTGGGATTGATTGAAATGATTACAGAGTTTGATGTGATTATGCAAGATAATGTTAGACGCATTCAGGATCGTGAAATTCATTATCATTATCTTGGACATAAAATTCAAAATGAGTTCATTTCCCTTTTGTCTCAAAATGTGAGAAATTCTATCATTAAGATCATTAAAGAGGCTAAATACTTTTCCATAATTCTTGATTGTACACCTGATGTGAGCCATCAAGAATAAATGACCCTCATAGTTCGATGTGTTAATATATTAAATAACAAAGTTAAAATTGAGGAGTTCTTTTTGGAGTTTCTAAAAGTGGATGATACATCTGGATTAGGATTCTTTAATGAACTACAAAATGTTTTGAAGTCTCTTGATCTTAATGTTGATGATGTGAGGGGACAAGGTTATGATAACGATTCTAATATGAAAGGAAGGCACCAAGGTGTTCAAAAAGATTTCTTGAAATTAATCCAAAAGCATTATACATGCCTTGTGCTTGTCATAGTCTAAATCTCACTCTTGGTGATATGACACATTCTTGTGTTAAAGCTATTTCTTTTTTTGGAGTTGTTCAACGCATATATGCATTGTTTTTGGGTTCTACAAAGAGATGGAAAATTTTACTTGATAATGTTCCTGGATTAACTGTGAAATATTTATCAAATAATCGATGGGAGAGTCGAATTAAAAGTATCAAAGCTATTAGATTTCAATGTCCCCAAATAAGATTTGCTTTGTGTGAATTATATGAATCTTGTGAAAATGATGCAAAGTCAAAAAGTGAAGCTGAAAGTTTGGTGAATGCACTCTCAAGTTTTGAGTTTTTGCTTGGTCTTGTGATTTGGTATGAAATTTTATTTGTTGTTAATATGGTAAGCAAGAAATTACAATCTAAGTCTATGTGCATTGATACTACCATAAGGCAATTAGAAGGTTTGATGTTCTACTTAGAAAAATATAGAGATGAAGGCTTTACAAGTAGTATGAATGTAGCTAAAAGTCTTGCACTTGAAATGGATGTGGAGCCTATCTTTCCCACAAAACGTCGTGTGATTAGGAAGATTTTTTTTAGAGAGAATAATGAGGATAACGAAGTTGAATCACTTGAAGAGTCATTTAGAGTCAATTATTTTTTTATTGTGGTAGATATGGCAATTACTTCTTTGAAGAATAGATTTGAGCAATTGAAGACATTTGAAAGTATTTTTGGATTTTTATATGATTCAAATAAGTTAAAGTCATTAGATGATAATGAGTTGAAAGAATGTTGTGCTCATTTTCATTCTACCTTTTCTCATGGCAATTCATCGGATGTTGACTTAGATGATCTTTTCTCTGAATTAAAAGTCTTACAAATGACTTTGCCAACAGAATTGTTATCCGCCACTGAAATTCTTAAGTTTGTCAAATCTGCAGATTGTTATCCGAATGCTTCAATTGCTTATAGGATTTTATTAATTGTGCCTGTGATCGTAGCTTCAGCCGAAAGAGGTTTCTCAAAGCTTAAATTAATAAAAACGTATTTGAGGTCATCAATGTCAAAGAAAGGTTGAATGGTTTAGAAACATTAGCTATTGAGAAGGAGATGATAAGAAACATTGATGTTGATGTTATTATCAATGATTTTGTATCTCAAAATGCTAGAATAAACTGTTTCTTATGAGAATTTGTGTATGTTGTTTTGTAGGTGAGAGGCGTCAATTTTCGATTGAGAGAAACGATTCTAAGAGATGATTGAATACATAATAGGAGTAAATTGAGTGAAAAATTGTGATATCTCTTTATATATTTGGTAAAATAATGTTGGTTAATTTAATATAATCTACTCGTATAATTTTTAATAAAAAAATTTGTTTGGCGTTTACCGAAATTTATTCTTAAATTTTAAGTTATTTTTTTAAGGACCCTTATCTCTTATTTTGCCTAGGGCCCTTAAAATGTCAGGACCGACCCTGCTCGCCAATGCACAATTCTGTACTTTTTGTAGACAGTTTATTAGTAAATTTATACTATAACAATAGATGGTAATTTGAATCGAATCGAGTTCAATTATGAATATTTATTCAAATTCGATATTTTTAAATGATCCATGTTTTTCGAATTCGATATCTAAAACTCGGCTAAAATAGACCAAACCTATTGAAGCGAGTCTTATAAGGTTCAAATGATATGTACCTGAGGTGGGCTGAGTTGGCAGACTTCGGAACAAAGGAACATTGGACCAAAAGTGAAGATGGTTGGAAGGCCATCATCATCGTATGTACAACTGTTGTCCATTTGGGAATCTTGATCATTCAATGCCTTGTAACCAAAAACCAAACAATTAAAATTTGATAAATACCAACATAATCTGTCCTAATAATCATCTTTCGGATGAGAAGGGAAACGTTGAGTGTTGGTCCAGGCATTGTGGCAGTGACAAAAACCGCTACAGAAATCTTCTGAGAGAACATTTCCATGGCTTGGGAGATAGCCAAACCGCCTAAGCTGTGAGCAACAAGGACCACTTTTTCTTTAATAGGTAGGGATGCCATGAATTCCCTCAAGGGCTTGGTCTAATCAGAGATGGATCCGAGTGTTCACTTGCTTTGGATCCACACCTGAACCTGCCAGGTCTATGGCGGTGACCTTGTGTCCGCCTGATTTTAGCAGTGGCACCGCCTTATACCATGACCATGCACCGTGACAAGACCCATGGACAAGCACAAAGTGCTTTGCTTGTCCCAGACCCTTGGATGGAAAGTAGCAAATCACAAGTGAAATTAAGACCACCAGTTTCTGATTTTCATACATGTTTCCAGGTTAGGTTTTGGGGTAAAAGACTGAAGAAACTTCAAAGCAAAAGGGACTTGTGTTCTACTAAATGAAATCATTGATCCTCAAAAGTCAAAGGGTTACTTTTATAATATTCATTGCTGCTATTATTTTTATCCTTAAGATCTTTCAAATCCGTAACTTTGTCAACTAGTGACAAGATAAATGGACAGGGAGCTAAAAAAAATTACAGAATAGTAAACATAGAATCGAGAACAAGAAATTTCCTGAAGCCATTCAAATCCGTAAAAAAGAATATGATATTTGAATTTCATTTGAACCTTAACGTGGAAATGGTCTGTTGAACATTCCAGTTTAACACACGTCTACACAAGACACTGCTTTAACCCTTGCTTAAAAATGAGTTCAGTTTCATTAGTGTAGCATAAAAAGTTTAGCGAGACTAATTACATTACATGCACGCTCAAAAGACCATGTAGAGAATTTCAGTCTTCAAGCAGCCGGGATTGAGGTTGAAAGGACTACGTATGACAAATTTTGGAGTCCATCCTGGATTTTGCTCACGGCAATGGTCTGATCACTACGGAGATGTTCGGAGAAGGAACTAGCTTTCTCCTGGATTGATGCCTTTGAAAGTGCTTCATGTGGATCTGCACTAGCACTCTTAATGGCTGCTACATAAGCTTCAGCTACATCAGATATGCCTGAAGAACATATATAAAAGATAATCATCCTCACTATTAGTGCTCATAGGTACCGTCGTAAACATATATGATATAACTGATAAGAACGGAGAACAACGGAACTAACCTGTATAAAGCTACTGGATACAGCTTCCACATATCCTGTCATAGAACGTGCTTTTAGTCGGATTAGTTAGCCTTCTCAATCGAATCTTCAGGCCAGTTGAATGCATCATATCACCATCTTCATCTTCATCTTGAACTTTGTTAGAACCAGATATGACAGATTTACCCAGCATCAGGAGATGAGACATCGCTAAGCAGCACATTTCTGAAAGCCTCTGCATTGCCATGCAGTCGTTTTATAGGTACAAAAAATAAATATCATATCCCAAAAAAATCGTCGAAATGTTCAAAAGAATTTGAAAATATCTCAATACATGAACCCCCTCTGAGTGCAGTGACTCTAGCCTTCCATCGGTTCTTTGAATTACATCATTAACGACTAATCCTGACAATGCATTTGCGAACCTGTAAAAGTTGTGGAAATAACAATAGAGAAGGATAGTTTATATTACTACAAAATGAGTTGATAGTTCAGAACATGACACTATTATTGTATACGAGTTCAAACTGGATGAAGAAACCCTACACAGTTTGATACAAAAACTCAAAACACTTTTATTTGTATTACAAAACATGCATCAGACTTAAACGTGAAAGGGCGAAAATGAACTAAGGAGAGGCAACTGAGCATGTGAAAACAAACAAAATCAACTCAGTTAAAGAAAATTTCAATTTTATAATTGGACTAGATGAGCACCTGAAGGAAATCCCAAATAGAAGATACTTGTAAGTAGAGCAGACAATCAGAGAACAACATTATATAGCTATTAGACACTAGTACCTAGGAGATGAAGTTCTCTGAGCTAAGATAAATGGGGGGGGGAAACTGTGTTCAGCAATTTACCCTGCAGCCATATCAGCGGCCTTGCTGAACTTGAATCATGTAAAAGTTTCCTCTCATCATGACTGCCCTCAGTTCCAGTCTCTATTTTCTTTCCTTTGGCCAACTCTGGACCAGTTCCATCCATTTCAGCATCTAAACTGAAAATTTGTTGGATTTGTTTAAGCTTTCCCTCGTACACAGATTTCTGTTCAGGTGATAATTTTGTTTTCCTCCGATTAAATAGAAGGGCGCAGTGGCTGGACAATGATTCCAGTTCGTGACAGCATTATAGTTCATCGATTTGAAAGATAAAATATTTTCAATCATCAAATATCAACTTCAAGGATAAGAAGTTCACCTCCAACTGCTCTGGACCTCCATATATGTAGAAGCATCGATCAAAGCAACTTCCTCTATCAACTGATCCTCATCAAACGGTTGTTCAGCGCACTTATCATTGTTTTCAGCTTCTATACCAGTTTCATTGATCAGTAGATCCATAGTTTCCTTTCCCACGTATTCAAGCACTTGCATTCCCTTTGTTGTAAAGGCTTTTCAGTCAGCAAAACAAATATGAGAAACAAGAGATCATTGTAACATTGCCAAACAGGATAATGACTGCACTATGACAAACCTCAATTAATGATGGCGTAACTGAACCAGCAGGTAAGCCTCCATGCTGAATAGAATCAGCAATGTTTACAGCAGAATACTCAAGCCTAGAAAATAAATGAAAAAAAATTACTAGTGGAAAACTGTTTCATGAGTATATCTATTTCTTGAGTTCTATGACAACAATAGTGAAATACCATAACATCATGACAAAATAGAGGGAAATTATAAAAAAGCAGAAAATCAAGCAACATCATATGATGTTCAGTTGTTTATCTGGGCATTGAAAGATCAAATTTATAGAAGAAAGCATCTAACCAGACTCGACACTTGAAAATTCTAAATTGCAAGAAAATTCTACAGAATCCATACAGAATAAAAGTAGTCATGTCACATCTTCTGCAGATGAGAGGGAAGATCCAATATACAAGAAGATATTCCATGATGATAGAACTCTGGACCCATTCGTCTAGAAATTAAAAATACTAGCACTAAATGACTTCCAAATTTTTTTAAGAAGATGCCTTGCAAATTGCAATTACCGAGGATCAATCCTTTTTTCTCTATTTTTTCTTTGTTAGCTCCAGGTAATCAACTAATTATTTAAAAACCGGACTCTGTATTGAAAAACATGAAACATACTTCTGAACTAAATTGCTACCCCCTTTCAATGCACTCCCTAGTGCCTGCCACGCCCCAGATGCAAAATTTTCCACAGAGTTATCAAGAACCTTCAAACCCTGCGACCAAAGAAAGTAGGACATAACAAATCAAAAATCAACAATTGATTCCTGGCCATCACAATGATATGGTGAAACTGACAGTATAAATTGGTGTCTCTGCGGAAACAAAGCCCAAAAAACATTACCATCAATCCAGAATATTGCAGCAAGTACTAGTATACACATGATATCAAAATGGATAAAAAGACTTGCCTGGCCAAGGAAAGAATCGTCACTTGCTTTCTCTAACTTATCCAGAGCAGACTTTTGTACATTGTAACTCTAATCTTCACTTTCTTTTTCACTTGGTGATTCTTCTTCTTCTTCTGCCTTTGAAGATTCTGAGTCTTCAGCAATTTGCATATCTGCAAGGCTCTTTGCAGCCTTCTCTGCAACCATAGAAGCCTGCATCCAGAAATTAATGCATAACAAGATTGAAAACAGCCTGTTATGATCATTAAACGAGAAGCTAATACATATAACTCCAATAATTATCAGTTCATGTTATTCTGGATATTTCTTGATCATTAAAAGGATTGTCACTACTGCAAACAAGAAAGCTTCAAGTAACCATATGAAACGTTTAAAGGTGCCACATCACTCCCTAAATCCTACATACAAAACAAAAAACTCAAAATAAATCAGCTGAAAGTGTTAATAAACAGTGACAATATGAGAATTATTGACCTGAAGCATGCACCATTTGATCTTAATATCGTTATACCATTTTTCCTTTTCAGCACTTCCAGTTTCACTAAGGATAAAATGATAATAGTTAGCATAGGAAAAACTAAATGCAAGTGTTCCACCAAAACCAAATAGGAAAGTAAATATTGAAATCAGATTTCTTAATCAAAATGACTTAGTTGATACTTTGACAAGATTTGATTTCAAATGATGGGAGGGACCAATTTCACCAACAATAGTGAATAGAATTCTTCCTATGGAACCTAATTTCAGTAATAATGACAGCATCTAGTATCTACGTGAAAATTGGTGATATTTTTACAATCAGCAGGTCTAACATAATGGATGAATGGCTGTAGCCTATAACGGCAACTTGTAAGGTCACAGTGAGCTACATCTTTCATAAAATGCATTAAAAGCAAATCACAAAAGGCTCCACCTAGAATGAAAAAAATCCATTACAGATAAATAGCACACGTTTCCTTTCACATAATCAAATTGAGTTATGGACATAACCATTTTATCAGTACACGAGTTATTGAAAAAGGTACAGCAAGTAACTCCACCGCAGTTAATTTTTTGTTATGTAATGACTAATGAGTAATGACCACATTCAGCATTTTCAAACCCAGCACCTAGGCAGTGAATTTCCATACAAGATTAGGTCTTTGAACAGTGTGCTTCATTTTCCCCTTCCAACACTTCCAATGCTTCACATATTAAACACAGAGTAAGGCTTAATTCATCAAACCCAAAAATCTCTAACAACTAAACTCATAGTTAATAAAGCTTCCACAGTATCAAAAACCTATTCAATTAAACAAGGTCTGAATTGGCTCAAACCCAAATATCTAAACAAACTCAAATAAACAATCATTAATTGGAATACGAAAACCCATACAGTGATATACATAAATAACTATTGAGGGATACAAAAATGAAGTGTACATTACGAGAGACCTCCTCAGCGGCAACGGTGGCAGCCTTTTGAAGATCTGAGAGAACAGAGAAAGCAGAGAAACCCCAACCGCCCCATCCTCCTCCACCGTTTAGCGCCGTAGTTGAAGCCGGTCGTTGCTCCTCCATCTTGGGTTCTTCTTCGTTTT